CTTAATTAAACACATGGAGGTCTAGGGGCAGTGCCCGAAACCAATATCATTGTATAATTGATGTAGAGAGTGAATAATATATATGGTCTATTAATTTTGTTAATTATGGCCGAGTAGAATTATGTTATTATCAAATTAATAAAATGTGAATGTCCAAGTTCAATTATTTTTTGTAAAGTGAGAAAATATAATTTCAACTATTCTTTGCTTCTCTCTTGTTTTGCAACAATTACATTTATTTTAGAAAATATTCCATGTTTTGGATTGATTATGCTAGATGTTAACAAGAATGTTAAGGGGAGGTTCATATTGGGACAATTTTAAATTTTAGAAGATATATAAAGGATGATACTGATGCATTTTAAAGATGATGGACTAAAGTGAGATCAAATATATATTTAAGGGACTATAACATAGATTTGGCCTAAAAAACATGGTCGTTTGACCATTTAGTTTGTAGTCTTGTAGGGGTAGAGCAGGTGCATTTCCTATCGCTCCCCATCCCCTTCTTCCTTGTCTTTTTTCTTTTTCTTTTCCTTTTGTTTATGAGTTTTTTTTATGCGTAAATATCTGGTCAACCATCTTTATTATTTTAGTTTCAGCTCTATATTTCTTTTGCCAATAAACTCACTCACTTAATATGTATTATAAATAAAATATAATATATACGACAAAATTACCCCCAACCCTTTAAACTCAACTCCTAATTGTAATCCCAATTTAACTTCAATTTCATCAATTTTGACCATAAATATCCAATTTACTTTTATTTCAGCCCGTGTTTCTGACGTTGATTTTTTTTTCCAGGTCTGCTTTTTCCGTCGCCGGTTCCCAGCGTTGATTTTTTTTTCCCTAAAATTTTTGTTTGCTTCTTTTACGCCCACCGCTGAACGTCAACCGTTATTGTACTGTCATTGACGGTAATTGTACTGGCGCTGACAGTAATTGTATTACAGTTGATAGTACAATTACATAATTGTATTGTCGTTACCAGGACAATTACTATGAACACAATAATATTAATGTCAACCACATCAATATTATTATTTTTTGGGCATCTTTATTTTGTTTGATTTGTTGATCAGTCAACAGACGGTAAAATTAATCTAAACAAATAATATTACTGTCAACGACATCAATATTATTTGTTTTTTCCTGGTCTTTTTATTTTGTTTGATTTGTTGACCGATTAATGTAATAATATTACCGTCTACTATAGTAATATTACTGTAAACACAATAATATGTGGTTGAAGGTAATATTACTATCGTACAATAATATTAGTGTGGTTGACAGTAATAGTATTGTTAACCACATCAATATTAAATTCTTTTGACTTTTTATTATGTTTGTCTCTATTGAACGGTCAACATATATATTACTATATTACACATAATAGTGATTTTTGTTGTATTAATATTACTGAGCTAGAGAATAATATAACAATATTACTGTGCTAAAAAGTAATATAGTTAATATTACTGCATTAAACATTAATATTATTAATATGACTGTCAACCGCAGTAATATTACTGTTTAAAGGAGCCAAAAAATGTTGAAGAAAAACTAATTCAAAAAATTTAAAAAAAGAAAAAAAAAAAAAAAAAAAACGCCGCCATAGGTCGGCTTTAACCGTCGGTCAACGGCGATAGAAAAAAAAGTCAACACTGGAGATCGGCGAAAAAGGCTGACATAAAAAATCAACGCAGGAGACCGGCGGTCAATGACTACGATGGGCGAAATTGTAGTCAAAATTGAATAATTTGTGAAATTTTGGGCAAATTGAGGTTAAATTGAATTAAATGCTGAAATTGGAGCGTATTAAACTATGACGAGGTATTTTAGTGTTTTACACACCTCTAGACATTGTCTGGACTTTTTTATAAAAAAGTTTTTTGTCTGAACTCTTTATAAATAAGTAGCTCATAATGGACTTATTTATAATAGACTATTCGTTATTTTGTGTTTTAAAAATGTAATTTTTTTTTAAACTTTAAACAAAAATTTAATTTAAATCAAATATTTTAACATTATTCAGGGGTGTTTAAGTCTTTACACTTATAAACTAATTTTATAAATCAATTTAAGTGATCTAATTATCTTCATCAGAGAGCCCATAACCATTTTAATATTGAGGCTATTTGACAAACTCCCCTCATTGAATTTCGACTTCATGATAAATTTATTTTATTAATTGATATTTGACATAAACTTATTTGACTCAAATTATACGAAATGCCCCTATCATACTCTCTCTCCAAAATAACTCCTCACAAATCTCACGTCATTTAAGTTTTTTTTTTTTTGTATTCTTTTATTTTCAGAAAAAATATTTTTTTTTTGATTTCGATTTTAAAACAAAATATTGCTTTTATTTTATTTCAGTTTTTCTTATATTGAGTTTTATTTTTATTTTTCCACGAGGTTTAAAAAAATATGATTTTTAACGCACAATTTCATTTTATTTTTTTGTTTTTTTTTTATTTCAATTTTTTTTTTCTACCAGGGTTATGAAAATTAAAATCCACTATATATTCATCGGAAACTACGACAAATTTATCGAAAACCACTGTAAAATTACCGCAAAATTCATTGTAAAATTAACGTAATCCACTTTAATATTAACATAATCCAAAACAAACTTATCGAAATCCACTAAAACATACGTAATCCACTATAACAGAACTTAAAAAATAACAAACAAAAAAAAAATCTAAATTCACTATTCGTAAATCCACTATTCAAAAATTCACTATTTGAAACGTAAACCATTACTATGTCCAGGAAAAAGTGCAAGACCAGTATACCACCACCAACTAGGCCAACGAGGTCACTAAATCAATCTGAAAACAAAAAAAAAATTAATTAACAAATGAAAACCAATTTCCAAAAGCAAACCTTGTTGTCACACCATCATTGGTGGGAACAAAATCTGAGAAACTTTCGTAAACATATTCTTTCCAACTTACTAATATTGTATAAATTTGTTGAAATCGAGAATTAATGAGGAAACAACAATGAAAACCACTATGTATAAACAACTATATAAAAATGAAAACCACTCTATATAAACATGAAAACCACTTTTTATACTTATCGAAATCCACTATAAAACCACTACGTATACTTATCAATCTCTAAGAATCAAACCTCTTTAGAAATCTAAGTAAGGGCATGAGATTGGACAATCTTATCCTTTAATTTTCCATCATACAAATATTTAACACCATAAAAATTAGAAAAATATATCTAACCAATTTTCTACCCATGGATGAATTCGCAATCCACCACCAACATGAGTCACTTTTCTTCTTGTTGTTGGGTCCTAATCATCAATACAAAACACACGGAATATAAAGCTTAAATTTAAATAAAAACATTAATTAGATAAAAATGTCATTGTATCGTTAAACATAAAATGAAAAAAAAAAAACGGATACATATCAACACAAATCTCCAATGGATAAACTCCAAGGGATGTTCATGTATGGAGACCCAAACCCCAAACCCACACCAACAATCAATACAAATCTTAATAAATAAAACCCGAAATACCTGAAATCTGAAACCTCAAATTCACACCGTCAATCAATACAAATCACTGCAAAACCAATGATCCTCGTTCTACGTGGTAGTATGGGTGTAGGTGGGTGCCTGGTGTGATCGTGACTCGTACGACGAACAGCAGGGCTGTAGGTGGGGACGTGGGTTGTGTTAGGCAGAAAAAAAAATGAGAGAAAGACTATTCTGTCTAGCGGTTAGTTTAAACTTTAAAAAGATGGGAAAGGGTATTATAGTGAAATTATATTATTTTTAATATTTAAAAAATAATTTAGATTTATCTTGAAAATGGAAAAAATATTTAGACTCCTCATAATTGTACAATGCAAATGATGGGTTTTGTCAAATTATCCCTTTAATATATGGATTTGTACTCCAAAGTATAAAAGTTTCATTTTGGAGGGTCTAGCCAATTATGCCAATTCTAAAACACCGGTTAAATGTTATAAAAGTATATACATAACAAGTGAAACCCATGATTTAAGGAAATTGAGACAGCATACATACGGTTTTATAAATGCTAAACTCGATGAAATTTATTAGATCATGCATTATTGATCTACGCATAATAGTACACACATCAATATGTTTGTGTAGTTAATGAGCAGTTATTTGTAAAGAACAATAACAGGAAATCACCAAATACAGTAAATCATATACATCCTTTTAAACTAGTTGGCGCACACTCCAATCAAGATGAACTAGTTTTTTAGATGTTTTTATCAAGGTTGTAAAAAACGGTACTCGGGTCGGAAGCGGTCAGGGACCGACTCATAATTAATCGGTGCGGCGGTGATTAATCGGTGATAAATCTGAAATAAATCGGTTTTTAAAATTTAATATAACATATTTCTAGATATTATTTATAAATACTCAAAACATATATAAAAAGATATTTAAACATAGTTATATTCCATCATGTATATATCCTAATAACATAATAAAAGTTTAATAATAATAAGATCATAATACATAAATATTCTAATAAAATATAAATAAAAATGCAATTTTTTTGAATTTACATTTATTCTTGAACGTTCCTGTCATACATCATTAGTTCTTTAAGAATAACAGTAAACGTAAACAAAATAAAACATAAACTCATATTTTTTATTATTAAAATCTCAACTTTTATTTTGAATTAAAAAAAAAAAAAAAAAAAAAAAAAAACCGATTTTTTGCCGATTTTTGCCACCGATGTTTGGCCCGCCACAAAGGTTTGACCGCCTCAAACTGCCTCACAGGCAAAAAACCGATTTTTCAAACATTTACATTAAATCGTAAAGATTTTGGACCGCCTCCGCTTTGGAGACCGATTAATCAGCGGCCTCAGCTGATTTTTAGAACACTGATTTTTATACGGCTACATAAATTTCTTCCCAGACTTTTATATTAGACTTTTATATTCCACGCGGGAGGAAAAAGAAAGAAAGAAAGAAAGAAAAGAAAAAATAAAGAGATGACCTTTGACTGCGCTATATTACCATTTACCAAGAAATTAGAATACTGAGTTCTCCCACCACCATATATATGCGCTTCTTCTCTTTGCACGAATGAATGAATTAATGGTTCCCTTCTTCTTCCTCTTCCTCTCCCTACTTCATTTCCTCTCTCCCGTATTCTCCGACGACCGCCTCGCCCTCCTCCGCCTTCAATCCGCCGTCCGCGGCCGCACTCTCCAATGGAACACCACCTCCGCCACCCCATGCTCCTGGGAAGGCGTCAAATGCGACACCACCACCAACCGCGTCGTATCCCTCCGCCTCCCCGGCGACGGCCTCACCGGCCAGCTCCCGCAGTACTCCATCGGAAACCTAACCGAACTGAGAGCCCTCAGCCTCAGGGACAACTCCCTCTCCGGCCCCATCCCTTCCGACTTGTCCTCGTGCACCCATCTCCAGGACCTCCACCTCCAAGGAAACAACCTCTCCGGCGAAATTCCGACCGGCTTCTTCGCCCTGACGGAACTCGCACGCGTCAATTTGGCGGGAAACAGCTTTTCCGGCGCTCTGTCGCCGTCAGGGTTCAACGGCCTGACCAAGCTGACAACCTTGTACTTGGAGAACAATCAATTCGCAGGGCCACTTCCAGATCTGAACCGCCTCCTCCATCTTACGAATTTCAACGTTTCGTTTAACGGATTACTGACCGGTTCGATTCCGTCGAGCTTAGGCACTACTCATTCTTCTCGGTCTTTTCTCGGAACCTCTCTCTGCGGCGGACCACTTGTTCCTTGTTCCAATAGTAGTAGTAATAATAATAATAATAATAATCTTTCCGGCGGAGCAATAGCCGGAATAGCAATAGGATCAATGGTGGTTTTAGTTTTAGTTCTTGTACTTATATTCATCTCATGGAGAAAATACACAACAATTAATGGAACAAGCCCTTCTGAGATGACGAGTAAAGGGTCACCGTTGCCGTTTTCTCCGGTGAAGCCGCCCGAGCGGCAGAGTTGGAATGTCCCTCAGTCGTCATCTATTGTAGTGATAGAAGAAGACAGCCGGTCGGACAGTAGTTTCTCGAGCGATATACGAGCGAAGGAGAGATTGAGGGCGGCAATCAAGAATGGCGGGAATGATGGTTTGGTGTTTTTCGGTGAAGAGGATGGGTTCGAAGGTTTCGGGTTACAGGAGCTGCTGAGGGCGTCGGCTCAGGTGATGGGGAAGGGGACGGTTGGATCGACTTACAAGGCGTATTTGGACAGCGGGGTTGAAGTTATTGTGAAGAGGTTGAAAAGTGTTTCTGTTTCGGAGAAAGAGTTTAAGGATAAAATGGAGGAGTTTGCATCTTTGGTGCATGAGAATTTGGAGCCTCTTAGAGGTTACTTTTATGGTAGAGATGAGAAGCTTCTTATATATGATCCCTTGTCGAATGGAAGCTTGTCCTCGATTCTCCACGGTGACCGTCTCTCTCTCTCTCTCTCTCTCTCTCTCTCTCTCTCTCTCTCTCTCTCTCTCTCTCTCTCTCTCTCTCTCTCTCTCTCTCTCTCTCTCTCTCTCTCTCTCTTGTGTTTATGTTACTTATCGATTATATATTGATTGATTAAACAGGCAGCAACAAGCGACGACTCTCGTGGGAAACGAGGGCCAAAATAGCACTTGGAGCTGCAAGCGGAATCAACTACCTCCACTCGGTAAACTCTCAAACTGCACACGGCAACATCAACTCGTCCAACGTGTTCCTCACCGACAACTTGGAAGCACGTGTCTCCGAGTTTGGCCTAACGGAGCTCGTGTCCTCTGTTCCAAACTCGAATGGCTACCCAGCCCCGGAAGTGAACGATTCTCGCAAGATTTCACAAAAGGCCGATGTGTACAGCTTCGGGATCGTGCTCTTGGAATTGCTCACCGGAAAGGCACCCGACCATGTTTTGACCGAAGAAGGGATCGAACTTCCCAATTGGGTCAATTCGGTTGTTCAGGAGAAGTGGACTATTCAAGTGTTTGATCCGGATTTGTTAGTTGAGTACGAAAATCTTGATGAGAAAATGGTGCATTTATTGCATATCGCGATTACGTGCACTGCTCTGCTTCCCGATAAGAGACCGTCCATGCTGGAGGTTACGCAACGCATCCGTGAAATTTGTGGTTGATAATTTTTTTTTTAATCCTGTCTAGTGAAATAACAAGTTATGAGCTTTTAATTTCCTTTTTTTTTTCGTTGTTCACTTTCGGTTTAAGGGTTGATTATTAGGTTGATTTTATTGTACATTGTTAATATAGTTGATTATTTTACATAATATTTTGAATCGCGGAAAACTGTTTTATTATATATCTATATTATGACGTTATATCAGTAAAAATTTAAAAATCTCATTTGAAAATTCCATAAAAATTAATAATCATGGTTTGAAATTACAAGTTTCCCTTATCCGGTTTGTAACAGCAGCCATTGAAGGCCTATTACATTGATACTCAAACGTACAACAAACTGCAATTTGCAACAACCGAACCATTTGCTCTCCAACCCAACTCTCTTTGTACTCATGCAGTGCACTATCAAACACTTCAATTATGGGCTTTTCTTGGAAAATCGAGCGCACCCATTTCGGCAAATCAGTCCCCTTGTCGTTCACTAGCGGTGCTTTACCGGTTAGCAGTTCCAATAGGACCACTCCAAAGGCGTAAACATCGGACTTATGAGAAACACTGTTTAAGTTTGTTACCTCAGGCGCACGGTATCCTTGCGCAATTGCCGTTTTCGAGTCTAGTGTGGCGAGTTGTGCCATGCAATATTCGGAAATTTGTACGCTATGACGGTCATTATAGTAGGAGATGAATATGTTTGACGACCTAATATTTCCGTGACAAATATTTGAGGGTTGGGAGTGAAGGTAGCTAATCCCACGAGCGATACCGTAAGCAATGTTGCTCCTTGCTTCCCAACTGAGAGGAATCTTTATTGCACTACCTTTGTGCCATAAAGAAAAAATCAGATCATTTTGGAAACGGATGTGTTAAATGTCGTTTCAATTTTAATAATACCATTACAACTTCAATTGTGATGTTGACCATGCTTTAAGCTGAATTTTGAAAAACTCAAAACACGGAATTTGTATTTCTTTGAGTTAGCTTTCTAATCCAATTTGAATCAGCAAGATTCGGTATTGGATGAGAATGATATACATGAATCAATGAAGATAGCCCAAGACTTAATTAGATGTTTTCAATCATCTAAAATTCAAAATGTAACTCATTCATGCATAACTTTATCAGCTGACATCCCATCTAGTTGATTCAAGTTGAATTTGAAAGATATCCTAAAGGACTACAGTTTACGTGTTTTGAATTTTGCCAAAATCATCTTCTAAGGCCATGTTTGGTTGCCAAGATAAGCCATGATTAACTAAATAGTTGGACTTAATTTGATGTTTGATATCATCAATAAATTGTCGGGTCGACCCACCAAAATTATATAATCATGGCTTATCTTGCCTTATCTTGGCTTATCTTGCTTTCTAATGAGTTTTTTTTGTTGGAAGTTTCAAGCTCCAATAAAATAATTGAATTTCATTAGATTATTTAATCTTATCTTGGCTAATCTTATCTTGCCAACCAAACATGGCCTAAGTGGTTTAACTTTCAGAAAAAAAATGTAAATGATTGCCATTTATAAAATATTCGTCAAGAGGCTAGTCCTATTACAACTCCTATTAATTTCACAACAACAAAAAAAGAAATTATTTTGTTCTCATTGTCATCGAAAAACCTCGTGTAGAAAAACAGAGGTTTTAAGGACAAAAATTAAACATAAGACCATGATGAACAAGGCAAGAGAAAGAAAAAAACCACATGAATGAATTGGGACAACAATGTCAACAAGCATCCTTAAACCATGCAATTAATTAATGTCCTTAATATTTAGAAACGAAAAAATGATGCTAATCAAGATTATAGTAGATATAGAAGTTGTCTCACCATGTAAAGCAGAAGCTAAGCTTGAGAGAAAGTCATGCAGAAGAAGTCTTTCATTCATATGACAGCAATACGCTTTAAGAGGAAGCAAGTTTTCGTGACCGGCCGCCATTTTCGCCAATTCTTTAACCTTTGCAGCAAAATCAATCTCGGGCAAACAAACACCTTTCAATCTTTTGACAGCAACGAAAGCTTTGCCGGGCAGCTGAGCCTTGAAAGTAGTTCCGAAAGTACCCCTGCCTAGAACGTGCGCATTCGAATACAACAACGTCTCTAATCCGCACTCTTCGTATTCGGATCCTTTGAGGAAAATTAGTGTACTACTACTCATGTCTGTTGTTTTGTTCCATGCCATTTTTTTTTTTTTTTTGATTTGTAACTGTTGAGATAATAAGGCTTTTTCTTTGTATTGTTTTCTTCAACTTATAGAGAGACTTTTAAAAAAGTTGCAGACTCGGAAAAAACTCTTCAAACTCTTCAATAGCAAGGATGAAAAGTCAATATGTGAATGAAGCAAATCAAATATTATTGTTCAAATGTTAGTGTAAATTAACAAAATAAAAAATAATCCTGATGTATTATTGAATTACGCTAATTATTTATTTATTTTAATAGGAGCTAGTGGCTATTTAATTAAAGAACAATTATTTCATTAATGTATGATAGTCTAATATATAATTATATTTCCTCTTACAGTGTAAAGGTGAACGAAAGCTTTTAGGGTCCATTAGGATGGAGGGATTTGATTTGGGGAATAGATTTGAAATGACTCCAATTTTGGAGTCATTTGAAATCCATCACTATTGCTCCAAAATCAACTAAAAATGAGGGGTGGGGATTTGAAATCCATCTCCAAATCCCTCAATCCAAACAAGTCCGAGAGATTTGTTATTATGGATTTGAAATCCCTTCCCCAAATCCATCCATCCAAATGCACCCTTAGATTCTCAGGAAACTTTCTCTTGATTCCGCGGGTGTCATTGTAGGATTTTTTCCATTCATGGAGGACTTTTGATTGTCATATATTTGAATAATACAAGAATTTACAAGCTTTCAAAATATGAAATAATTATGATATCGAAAACAAATTTGAGTTTTAGTATGTAGAGTAATATCACAAATTTAATTTAGGGGTCAATATAATTCTAGAAACAATATAGATTTAAGATGTTTGGCTGGGCTTATAAAAAACTTTGAAGATGTTTTAAGAGCTTACAAACACATTCAAAGTGTTTTGTAAAATTTTCAAAAAAAATCTTAAAAATTTGAAAAATAAGCTGATGACAAATAAATAGGATTTTTTTTAAATACCGCTACTCCACATTTTTTATTTAAGATCCTATAATAAGTAGAAATAACTTATAAGCTCATTATCCAAATACTTTTAAAATCAATTTTAAAAATAAAACGTAAACAACTTATCATATCTTAAAAATAAAATAGCTTACCAAACCTAAAAGTTTATCAGTTATTTTAAATATGTTTAGCCAAATAGAAACTCGTGGTTATTGCAACTAATTCAAAGGCTATTTACTTAGACACACACAGCCAACGGTCGCCAGCTCAGTATGCGGCCTCTCTCCCTCGCTCCTTTTTTCTTTTCTTTCTTTTT